GAACTATGAATCATGTCATGCGATCTTTTATTGGAAAATTTGTGGTTTTATATTTTGATGATATTCTGATTTACATCATTCACCCATCTGCACATCTTTTACATGTTAAAGAGATTCTGGAAATTCTGAGAGAGCAAAAACTGTACATCAATTTGAAGAAGTGTTCCTTTATGACTTCGAGTTTGATATTCTTGGGTTACATTGTGTCTGCTAAGAAAATCCAAGTAGATCCTGTGAAAATTGAGGCAATAAGAAGCTGGCTTGTTCCTAAAAATATCAGTGAGGTTAGAGGTTTTCATGGGTTAGCATATTTTTATCGTCGATTCGTTAAAAACTTCAGTACTGTTATCGCTTCTATCACTGATTGTTTAAAAAAAAGAACTTTTAAATGGACCTCTGAGGCTGAAATTACTTTTCAACTGATCAAACTAAAAATGAGTCAAACTCCAATTCTTAGCCTGCCAAATTTTGAAAAGGTATTTGAAGTTGATTGTGATGCTTCACATGTTGGTATTGGTGTTGTTTTGAGTCAGGAAGGAAAGCCTATTGCATATTTTAGTGAAACGTTAAATGATGTTCGATCATGATACATATGACTTGAAATTTATGTCATAGTTCAAGCTTCGAAATTCTGGAGATGCTATTTGATTCAACGAGAATTTATTTTGAATACTGATCACGAGGCTTTACAATTTTTTGGTTCACAAAAAAATCTGAACAAAAGACATGCCAAATGGGTTTCCTTTTTGCAAGAATACTCTTTTCATATCAAACATAAGACTGGGATTTTAAACAAGGTTGCTGATGTTTTAAGTCGATGATCTCACTTGTTGATGATTGTTTTTCCGACTGTTACTACTTTTGATTTTTTGAAAGTTACTTATGCAAGTGATTCTGATTTTAAAAATATTTCGGATGCTTGTTTTGCTTCTGGAACTGATCTTTCTGCTCAGTTTGTTATACATCAAGGTTTTTTATTTAAGGGAACTAGACTTTGCATATCTAAGAGTTCTTTAATAGAACAACTTATGAAAGAATTGCATAGTGGAGGTTTGGGAGGACATTTTGGGCAAGGGAAAACAATTGCTTTAGATGAAGAAAAATATTTCTGACCTCACATGAGAAAAGACATTGCTAAACTGGTTAAAAAATGAAAGGTATGTCAGGCTTTTAAAGGAACTGCACAAAATTCTGGTTTGTATACTCCTCTGCCTATTCCAAACAAATCTTGGAAAGATATTTCTATGGATTTCATTTTGGGTTTGCCGATTACTTCTCGAAAATTTGACTCTGTTTTTGTGGTTGTGGATCGATTTAGCAAAATGGCGCATTTTATTTCATGTAAGAAAACTTCTGATGCTTCTTACATTGCTGATTTGTTTTTTAAAGAAATTGTTCGTCTGCATGGTATTCCTCGTACTTTTACTTCTGATCGAGACACTAGATTTTTAAGTTATTTTTGGAGAACACTGTGGGCAAAACTTGGAACTACTCTTCAATTTAGTGGTGCCTATCATCCTCAAACTGATGGGCAAACTGAAGTTGTTAATAGAAGTTTAGGAAATTTGTTAAGATGCCTTGCTGGACAAAAACCATCTCAATGGGACTTAGTGTTGCCTCAGGCTGAGTTTGCTTACAATAATTTTGTTAATCGTTCCACTGGCAAAACTCCATTTGAAATTATTTATGGGCAACCCATTATCACATTTTGGACAAAAACTCTTTATCCTTACCCAAAAAAACTAGTACTGAAGCTTTTGAAACATTTGATCACATAAAAACTGTCGAACAATAGGTTCTTGAAAAACTCAAAAAAGTTACTGCTTAATATAAGTCTACTGCTGATAAACATTGAAAATAAGTGAATTTCAATGTGGGTGACTTAGTTATGGCTTACTTTTCGTCGCCAACGATTTCCTATTGGTACTTTTAAAAAGTTAAGCAGAAAGAAATTTGGCCCTTTTCGTGTGCTTCGAAAATTAGGCACTAATGCCTACTTGCTAGATCTACCAATTATTGTTGGCACTTCTCCTATTTTTAATGTTTCTGACCTATCTTTGTATGAAGGAAATTCTGATGATTCTGTAGACATTAAAACTTTGCCACTCTCTGCTCCTTTGGCAAAGTCTGAAGATCAAATTGAGGATGTTGTTGATATGAAAGTCATTAAAACAAGACATAGAGAACACAAGAAGTTCTTGGTCAAATGGAGCAATCGACCATTGACTAATTGCACCTGGATTGATGTTGCTGATCTAAAAAAGAAATTTTTGGAACTTTATGAAAGAGTTGCTGATACATTCTCATCAGGAGACGAGAATTTTCTGCCAGGGGAGAATTGATGCTATCAAATATTTCTGTAATTTTATTTTCATTTGAACAATAGTATGTTTTATGTTCTTTTCTTTTTTTAGCTATCTAATGATGGGAAAGCATCCAATGAACATGGTAGGTTGTGCATGGGGCTTGGTAGACCTTTGATTTGCTGGCTCGATTGGTCCTTTGGCTGCTGCTGGTTCACGGGTTGGCTGTTTTGGGGCATATGATGATGGTTGGAGTTGAGCTCATTCTGTTAGTTGCTTGAGATGAAGTTTTGTAGCTCATTAATGTTTTAAAGGTAAGCTCATTAAGTAGGATTCAATTTTGGAGTGGACTTGTCCCTTCTCCTTCCCCTTTCTTCTTGTCTCTTTGAAAACCGTGGCTTGTTTTAATGCTGGCTGAATTCTGTGCCTTGAATTCCACGGGTGGCTGCTGTTTCCGTGCATTGCCACCTTGGTTCCCATAATGGCTGATGGTTTTCCGAGCTGGGAGTTTTCCCGTAGCTTTTGATGCCTCGATTCTGTGAGGTTTCTTTGGTACCCGTGGCTGCTCCTTTGGTTCCAGAGATGGGCTGTTTTCCGTGAAATGCATATGGAAAAAAACTATAACTTGATGCTTGGGTTCTTGGGGAAATTAATTAAAGTGGTTGTTGGTATTCTCCTATCATGCCTGTAAATATGAGATGTTTTAGTGAAGAAAGTTAGTTGATTATTTTGAGCAAATTTGCTATTGACCTACGGGTTATTGGAAAAGCTTGCAAGCTTGTTCCATTCTTCTTTCTCATCCCCTCCGAAAATCTTGCGAGCTCTTTCCACCCTTTGTCTTGGCTTCTAACCTCTTTCGTCTCTTTGCAAGTGCCACTCCATCTGTATCCTTCTTCTTGAACTTTGGTAGTGATTGTTGGTTGACTTGGAAGCATCTGTTGGAAGAATTGGACAATCTTGCAGTGGTGAACCATCGGTTTGCTAGCTCTATGCGCTTATCTTATTTAACCTACAATTCGATGCATGTGAGGAACCCGCTCTGACGGTTGTCTGAAGATAGCGTTGTTTTTTTTTATTTCTTTCTTAAAAATCTCTTTGTGTTTTCTTGTTAGATTTTGAGTATTTTAGTTGATTACTACTATTTTAATAGAGTCTGGTTTTAGTTTTATTCATTGTTCTCTTTGTTTCAATTTTCTTATACTTGTGTTTGCATCAGAAAGAGAAGAAAATTTGGATAAAAGAAAATAAGAAATTAATCAAAATAATCATCACGCCTTTAGAGACAAATTTGTCTTACCCATGGTTTAAAATTGCACAATATGAGGCTCGCCTTGAGGCCCGCCTTTGCGCAATTCCAGTAAAAAACGCCTCGAGTTTTTTTTATGAGGCTTACGCCTCAACTTAGTTGATGCCCGCATTGAAGCCCGCCTCGCCTCACTGGCATGAGGCTTATGCCTCACTTTATATATATTAAAACTTACATAAATCTTGAAGTAGATGCCCGACATTGGATTCAACAGGAGAGGAGGAAGAGAAGAGAGAGCAGTCACCATAATGATGATTCAAATGAAGAACCCCTTAGTGATGACAATGCTAATGACTTATGAGTTATTATGTCATATGTCATTGCTATTTATTTTTGGAAATCAGAATTATATGTTAATGAAAAGAATATTGGGATTTCGAAAAGATAGAATTTTGAGTTGAACTATATTTCATGTTGTCTTATTATTGAGATATTTTGATTTCACTTCATATCTTATACTTTTTTATGTTTTATATTATTCACTCATTAGTATATAACAAATTTATCATTTTATGTTTATGCAATCTTTTGATTTTGAGACTTACGCCTCAAAACGCCTTGAGGCTTACGCCTCGCCTCACGAATGAAAAACGCCTCAATAGCCGAATACGCAATTTTAAACATTGGTCTTACCAGGAACGAAGTTTCTCTAAATTTTGTAACACTAGGAGCTCAATGGTCTTTTGCAAAGCTTTAGAAAAGTGCACAACTTCCCAAAATAACAACATGATCAATAAAATTGCCGCAAAGAAGTTTTAAACATTTTTCGAGCTTAATTTATTGTTTCACTTTTGGAGTCCACTTTTAATTTTATAAATAGCCGTTTGTCAATTGGTAGCAAAAGCCTACATAATTGGCTTTATTTTTAGCATAATTGGGCTTATTTAAAATTAAGTTTTAGTTTATTTGGCTACGTGATAGTTATATTTATGGGGCATAACAGGGGAGAGCCAATTAAAAATCTAGCTTTCACTGTCTACAATAAAAATTGTTCAAAATTACACCACCATTAATCATTTCTGCCCTTTGCTAGTGTGCCTTTACATGCAAAGACATACTATGTATATCAAAATGCAATCATGTATGCAAAATTGAAGTACTCCAAGTTATACCATCATTTGTAGAGAATAATGCCGCCAAGACTTCCCAAGATACTGGAAAAGTTCAACTCCAGGCAATAAAATTTACATTAAATTTTACAATTTTGCCCCACATCAAAAAAATTAAAAGAAAAAAAAATGTTAAAGAAGAACTGTGTGAATAACTGAAGTTTTTTTGTCTTATGCTACCGATACTTTTAAATCCCTATTCTAAATTTGCAAGATAATGCAAAGAGTTTATTCTTCTCATGTTGTTATAGATATATAATATCTACGATTTAGCATACACACCTTGAGATAACTCTTTTCGCTTCAAGGGAGCTAAACAAGACACCTTCAAAGCTGTGTGAATGACAAAATAACCAAAAAGAAAATCGAGTTAATCATATGCCAAAAAAGACTGAAACATGGAAAGAACTAGAAAAAAATTTAAAAACGTAAAGATGAAAAACAAAACCCTAAAAAATGCATATATCAATGAGTACCTTGTCCAGTCAATCAAGATTGCATGATCAGAACCCAAAACTGACACATGGAAATCAATATTTTCCCATAATGTGCGAGCTTCTCCATCTCCTAATGCAAAGACCTGTTCCATAACAAATCCAAGGCAGTCAAAAATGTTATGATGCCAAGTACTATCTACATGAATATTCAAGCAAACAAATCACCAAATGAATAGTGAATACAAAATAAAAAAATAAAAAAATAAAAATTTGGCAAATGATCACCCCTAACGGTTTATTCTTATTTGCCACAAAATTTCATTTTGCTTGCTAGCAATACTTTAAAAGGTACTGCTACAAAGCTCAGTGTTATCATTCACACAACAACAATCTTCTTCTTCAATGATGCTATCTCAAGCAATTTGCACATGCAAACCTCAAATAGATTAAAGTTTATTTGGGATAGTTGTAGTTTTTTGTAAAAGTTGTTGGAACTGTTATGGAAAAAGCAACTTTTTTTAAAACCATTATGGGTACTATAAAATTTTCTTTTTAAAAAAATATATGGACAGTAACTTTCTTAAAGCTACCATGTGCTAATAGATTTTATTGTAAAAAACAACTTCCCATCACAAAATTTTTTAATAAGTAATAAAAAAAATGATAGCCAAATAGAAGTGTGAAAGTACTATAAAAAAGCAAAACTGTAAGAAAGCCATCCCAACCAAATCCTAAGAAATACTATTCTTAAACTCCTCTCACATGTGTAACACAAATATTCATATGGATATATTGGATACTGAATAGCCAAAAACCAAAGCTCCAATAACACTATAAGACTAACCTTTGATGCCATACCAACATAGTACAACTCTATTAGTTATCACCGTTCAAATGTTGCTTTCATGCCAAAAATACCATAACAGAACCTTGTCAATCCCTACCTTTTCTTCCATCTCTTCTAAAATATTACTCTTTCAAGTTTGAAAGGCCAAACTTTCAGCTCATTAAAGGTTACAAAATTCAAAGGGAAGCCCTGAAGATTTCAAAATGTCATAAACCTCCAATCTACTAACCTACTAACCCAGCTTTAAGGCTTCAATGTGCATTTACATTGCTCTTTACAAAATATACCAAATCATAATTTTCAGTTTTGAGGGAAATGTACAACTAAAACCCTACCCATGACATGCACCTCCAACCCACCCAATGGAAGCACATCAAGGATTCCATCGTTGAGGAACAATTTCCTTCATTGTAGAAGTAGCAATGAACTTTTTCATACCATGTAGCAAAACAAAACATAAAAAATAAAGGCCATATCTGCTCAAAATAATAATGATCAAATGATAAGAAAAAGAAAATGATTAAAAAGTGTAGTTGACGGCTTTAATGCAAAAAAATGTAGTTGAAGGCTTACAAAAACCTTTTAAGTGTTATAAGTAATTCTTAATTCAAATAAAACTTTATTCTAAATTTGTTATTCTTATTCGACAACTTTACTATTTTAATCTTTAATTTTAAATGAGGCATAAAAACTGCTTTGGAGAAACAATCTTCTTGTTCGAGAGAAAGGCTTGCATATCTAAATGCTTCGGTAATCTTCCCAAATTAGCTTTATGCGGAATTCAGCTTTTCTATCTTTGCTATACTTTTTAGTATTTTCATAATCATCCATCATCACCAAGTCTGTTATAACAATACCATTATTTTAGAATATTGTATCACCAAAGTACTACAAGGATACAACCTAGAAAGTAACCAGACCTTGTGAAAAATTCAGCACAAAACTAACAAACAACAACAAACAAACAAAAATTAGAAACATAAGTTGCGGACGCACGGGAATGGGAATTCTTTGTACTTACCACAAGAATTTCTTAATATTCTCGAGGATGATGCCATTTTGGGTTCCGTTTTTGTTTAGTGGTCGTGTTGGCATTTTTGTTTTTGCTGGTTGTAATTTTTTATTGGTGATTGCAATGAAACATATGTTCAAGTAGAGTATTTCTGAGAGTGGTGCTAAATTTTTCATGATATCCAATCTCAGACATCAATTATTCTTCACTAGGTAACATTGAGGTCTACTCTATCCAAATATACTTAAAAGCATATTTCAAAAAGCTCCAAATTGTGCATCTTCTCACTAGTATAAAATAAATAGAATTTATGAATGAATATTAAATATTTTACAAGCATAACAGTTTTCTTAAGCTAAAGACAAAATAAAGTCTATAAAAATTTTCCATTTATCTCAATGCTTCTGGCTAGCAGCTTGTATTTACAAAATGTAAAGGACAAAATAGTTCAAACATAAATTTTCTAGACTACAATTTGATGAAGAATAAAAAAAATCTTCTGAATCAAAAACATATACTTATCATTAGTCAACAAGAAACATCAAACAGCTTTCAACCAAAAACGTGTAAGTTACGCAAACATTTTTTGCCAGAATTTTATTTGCTCTTAATAATTTTGAAAATACAAAAAAAAAAAAAACAGAGTTCCTAAAAAAAAAAAAAAAAAAAAAAACAGAGTTCCTTATGATAGAACAAAATTAAGAGCATCACATAGTTACAGATATGAACAACAATTCCATATGAACACTTCAATTGAGTTGAATATTACATCAATGTCTTCAAGAAAACAACTAAATAGGAATGCCTGTGACAAGCCTTTTTTGACATAAGAAAATCTAACAAAAAATTTTAAAGATAAGAATCAAGCCAAAATCACTCACAGAAAGTACGTAGCCCATCTCCCTGAGACTTCTCCCCAGAGTAAGCAGCATCAGAGACACAGAATCCTTGTTCATACTTCCAACAACCTAAGATTTTCAGAAGTCAGTACAATTGCAATAAAACATCACAAAAAAGCAAAAATATGAGCAATATTAATATGGTAACCCCTTGATACTGACCTAATATAGTAAGATTTATTTTTACTACATAATTACTATTTTATGAACAAAAATAAATTTTATGCAATCAAAGGTTTATGCTTTTTAAAGAAAAAAACCTTGCACTTCATTTTTCACCTTTCACATGGAAAAACATTAGTACAAATGAATCAATAATATTTGAAGTTAATTATCATGTTTTCAAATGAAGTGACTTAATGACAAGTTTTGATGTTTCTTCCACCGTTTTTAGTTTCTTCTATTTCCTCTTTTTAAAATGTTCACTAGCAAAATCCTCCTTCCTATCTACAACTGTCTCTAACCCTCCTAGTAATCTCCAACTCTCTCAATTCTTTTCTCATATGTCCTCCTTTCTTTTTAGATTTCTCCTCAATATTTGTTGCCCTTCCTCAAAACCCAACCTTGAGTCTAAACATGTATGATTCGCCATTTGCATCATGGCACTTCCCATGAATCTATGAGCAAAGCTACCAATCTGTTCACTATAACTACCATCCTAATCTCCATCTAATTGCTCCAATCACTTCTTACAAAAACTAGATCATTGCCTAAATTGACTATGGTCACCATGAACCTACTACCCCAACTTGTGATTTCAATATCATCCTCCTTTCTAGATGATCATTGCTCTTTTGTTTGACTTCCAACCATCACCAATACACAGCAACATTTCTCCAAACATTGTTACACTACTACAAAATCATCATCTGGCATTAGTCATAGCCTTTATAAACAAATGTTGGTCTTCTTTTCCTTTGCATGTTGGTATTCTTTGATTCACAACTTTATTCTCAAATAAAAAATTCGTATGTGAGAGAGAGAATTGATAAATAACATATCATGTTCTCATACTAAATTTTTATGTTATCCATGATGACATAAATAAAGAATATAAAGTTACAAAAAATCTCAAGAAGTTTATAGACACTCCACAATATTACCATAAATGTTGGGATTACGTTTGAATCCCCAAATAATTAACTTGTTAGTATGCATTTCTAATAATTTTTAAAGCCAAATAAGGAATTACTCTTTTATAATGCTCTATATTTTGGAATGAAATTGAATTCATGGTGTGATTTGATTCTTCTTTGTCTACCTTGCAAATTCTTCTCCTATTTAACTTTGTATTTTTGACTCACTTCCCTCAGATTTTTTTTACTATCTTTTGTCCCTATCAATTCTTCACTAACTCTAACCTCCTGCACTTCCCCACCCCCCCACCCCTCCCTCTGTCTTTTTCAATTCCTCTAGCTTTTTCAATTCCCCTAGCTCTCTATTAGTTCAATTAATGCATATAAGCTCAACTAAATTATTAGAAGAGAATATTCAACAAAAGCTGGATGAGATATTTTGATAAGCTTGTCAATGAAAATTGTGATAATATTATTGACTTTAATGACCTTAGCATCCTAAATGAAAATAGATATTTTTTTATAATCATATTAGCAAAACCAATGTTAGCGATGCATTAAAAACAATAATGTGTGGAAGAGTTGTTGGACCTAATGATATTCCAATAGAGGTATGGAAATGCTTAAAGAGATGAAAAATTTTCTTGGCTTATGAACTTTTCAACATTATTTTGAAGACTAAAAGGATGTCAGATGAGTAGAGAATGAGTGTATTGATTACTACTTTTAAAAATAAAGGCGACGCATAAGACTATGCGAATTATAGAGGAATTATGCTAATGTGCACTACATTAAAACTATGGGGCAGAGTTATTGAGCATAGGTTACAATGTGTACTAATGTTTCTCAAAATCACTTTGAAATCATGCTAGGTAGGTCAACTATGGAAGCTATACATTTATTGAGAGATTTGATGGAGAAGTATAGAAAGAATAAGGATGATCTACATATGATAGTTATTAATTTAGAGAAAGCATATGATAAAGTTATAAGAGAAGTTCTTTGGAGAGTTTAAGAAAAAAAAAAAGAGTTAATAATGCTTATATTCAAGTTATTAAGGATATGTGTGCAGGAGGTGTAACTTGTGTTCAAACACAGGTTGGTTTCATTAACAAGTACTTTCATATTTCAATTGGATTACATCAAGGATTCGTTTTAAGCCCATATCATTTTGTTTTAGTCATGGATGTTCTTACTAGACATTTGCAAGAGGATATACCCTGGTTAATGCTTTTTGCTGCTAATATTCTTCTTGTTGATAAGAATAGAGAGGGAGTTGAAGGAAAACTTGAATTATGGAGGTCAACCTTAGAGAGTAAAGGTTTTCATTTGAGTAGATCTAAAATTGAATGTATTGCGTGTAATTTTAGTAGTAATAGATCTAAAAGGGGGATTGAGACTTTGGGCGATCAAGTTATTAACATTTTATATATCTAGGGTCTATTGTTTAAAGTAAAGATGAAATAGATTGGGATATCATCAGCAGAATTCAAATTTGATGGTTGAAGTGGAGGAATGCATCAAGCCTGTTGTGCGACAAAAAAGTACCTCTCAAACTTAAGGAAAAATTCTATAAGATATTGTGAGACCTACAATGCTTTATGGCTTGGCTATTAAAAGAGAAGCAAAAAATTAAGTTGAAGTGTTGTAGGCATGAGGATGCTCAAATGGATGAGTGGCTTCACCCTTAAAGATAGAATGTGAAATGAGTATATGCATGAAATGGTTAAAGTAGCTTCAGTGTCAAATAAGATTAGAGAGAGACGTCTTAGATGGTTTGGTCACATAAAACATAGACCTTCCAATGGCTCAATTAGAAAAGTAGATGCATTAGATGTAGTGTATGCTAAGAAAGATAGAGGAAGACCTAAAAAGACTTGGTTATAAAATATTAAAAATTGTCTTTTTTTATTATATTTAAAATAAAATTTGACTCTTAATAGGTTATAAAGGAGAAAAAGGGTCATGTAGCCATAAATAGTGAAATGATATAATTAGCATGTAAGAAAAATAAAAAAGCATGGTTCATGTTTTTTGCTATGTCAATAAATAGTACATACTAGAGAGAAAGTGCTTCTAAAATTTTGATCTCAATGAACGGCTCTGTCAATAAAAGGACTTTCAGGGAACACACTTTATATGTGGAAGTTCAAAGTGGAGGGTAGTCAAAAACATTAACCTATGTGAGGCAACTCAAACAGCTAAGGGACTTGCATGTAATTTATCCTCTTTTTTTTTTTTACTCTAACTTCAAGCAAAGAATATTGCAACTAATGGTAACATTTTTCTGAAAACCAACATTGATAAAAGAAATAATGACAATGTGAGGGCAACTGCTTCCTCTATGCCCTTCTATAGCTTTAGGAAGCACTTGGACAATTAGGCTTCGTTTGGGACGGCTTTCTTGCTGCTTTTTAAAACAATTTTTTTTATAATTTTTTTTTATTTTTAATTATAAAGCAGTTTTAAGAAGCAATAAAAAAGCTGTCCCAATTGAAGCCTTAATTTCACTTTCTGTTTTGTTCAATAAAGCACTTGGAACCACAATTAGTTTCATTTTTTGTTCAGTTTCAATGCGACCTATCTACCAAATTTTCAATTTGAGATTGCAATAAGTTTTTAAGAACCAAATTACCAAAGAATTCTGTCATCGGATATTTTACTTATACCAAGGTGAACTCCAAGCCACAAAAACTTATTGGTTGAATTTCAAAATTCAGTACCCGTGAACGCACCTCTTTTATTAAGAAAATCCACAATTAAATGCCAAGGAATATTTTGGAAAAATAGCCAGAATTTTCAAAGATTTCAAATTTTCAATACATTCAAACTCCAAATACTAACTAAAGTTATAGTCAACAAAAAACTATAAAAGATGCATATTAAGTAAGGTCAAACTACACCACTCTACTTAGGTCAGCTTTCCAGAATATAAAAAAAAAAAAGAAATGCAAGAATGCACGAATTCTATATCATTTAGACACTAAATAGAGAAGCCATCCCCCGATCCAAAATCAGAAACTTTGGGATTTGAAATCGAAAGCAAATGTAAAAGCTTTATTCACAGGTACCGCCCTCCGCAGCCTAAAGATGGCATTTAACGAAAGACCGGTCAAACTAAAAAGCATACAATAGACATCGGTTAAACAAGCTAATTCTTTCAACGACCATAAAACAGCAAGAAAGCCACGAGGAATTAGAGAAATTATTAGCAGAAGCTACAACAGCAACAGCTATAGTAGCTTCTTCCTCCTCTCCGGCAGCTACAGCAACAAACCACGGCCTCCACTAACGCTCCAACGGCTTCTGACACAGAGACCACATGGAATAATCATAGTGGTGTCAATAATAACAAACCAACCAATCACCATCGTACATGTGTCATAAGCTTTGGTTATAAATAGTCACTGTAGCACCTAAAACAATATGATGAATTACAGCGAAATTACTATAGCTTTCTCCTCTGCTTTCCTCTGTGTTACATTTGTCTTGCAAGTCGAAGCTCTCCTTCTCTACAATTCTTCATGGTATCAGAGCAGGACTGAGGAAACTTCCTCAACACCACGCAAACGGCATCAATGGCGCAGTCTGCATCTTCTCAAATAAAAAATCAGTCAGGAAAACTGACTGCCGAATCTCCAAGCATCCCGTCTTCTCTGAAGCTTATTCTCTCAAACATTAAGACGATCGTTCCAGAACCTCTTTCAAGCAAAAACTATCCAATCTGGAAGTCGCAGATTCTAAAGCTTCTCCGAGCAAATGGTTTCTCTCAGTGTCTGGACAACTCAGTTCAGAAACCTTCCCGTCTCCATCAACGCAGCGACGGAAGCACAGAGCTCAATCCAGAATACACTCAATGGCTTCTCGTCGACCAGAACTTAGCTGTAGCATTGTGTTCTACAATATCCTCATCAATACTACCATATGTTCTTCATCTAGATCGATGCTCAGACATATGGCTCACTCTTGAGCAGTGACTCCAAGCAG